TATATATATATATATAATTATTTAAATTAATTAAAAAAGGCCCCTAATAAAAGGTCCTAAACGTATTTAATTCAACTCTGATATGTGCATATCCTTTTAAATCTAACTCGGTCATTGTGTTTGTGTTTTTCAGAAACATTGATCTTAGAGGTGGAGAAGATGATGGACATGAAAGAAGACACCTGCTCAGAAGTTGTGAATGTGGATCCAGCCGCAGCCAGTGATTCGCCACCAAACAAATACCCTCGCCTTCTGTCCTGCTACAAGGCATACAAAAAGCACAGCTCAGACCAGGATTCAAGCATACACACACAGATAAGGAAATACTTTGATGCCATCCGTGACTTTGACACAGACAATGCACTTGTCTTCTGGGCAAAAAACCACACTAGATTTCCACAACTGCACAATTTGGCAATGAAGGTCCTATCAGTCCCTGCCTCCTCTGCACCAGTGGAAAGGGTTTTCAGTCGAGGAGGCATTTTAATGAGACCCCATCGTGCACGTTTAGGCCACAGAATGTTGCAATCACTCATATTTCTTAAATGCAATGAAACACTTCTTTAAACTCCAATAATCAGTTAGTCATCTGGACAGTTTTTTTTTTTTTGTGGAAAGACTGACGTTTTGCCCTCCGGGGGCTGTCCTCTCCCCCGTCGACTCCTTCCAAAATGCAGCCACAGCCAAAGTGGGATTTTTTTGAAGTAGTTATGCATCGGGCAAACTTTGTGTTGCTTTGTATAGCTGCAATGTTGAAATTGATTAGCCTCGTGGTTTTCTTTCTGTAGTAGTTTTTGTTCACATTCCTGGCTGCCTGCAGTGCAGTTATTTCTCTGAAACTTTATGAATATGAATAAGCTACTAAGTTTTCTTGGGTGATTTTTATGATACTGTGTTTTTTTTCTTGATGTGCCTTGGATCATACAATGGAAGATCCCCAAGCAAATACACAAGTCTAAATGAAAATTAAACAATTTTAGAAAGTAACTGACTTCAAGTTTCCAATTTAATCCTAAAGACTGCATTTATACTGCCCAGTATTTCATGTTGACTTCAAGAGACCAAAAGAAGGTAAATGCATCTTGAGTTTTGTTTTATTAGGATCAAAATGGGTCACTTACATTAGAGTTTAAATAAATTAAAGTAAGCATGCACAAGTTGTGTACAAAAGACATTGCAGTACAAAATTCATTTCACAAACAACACTGTTTAAAAACGTAAAAACATTACTGTCTGGTAAAATCATCAGTTTTGACACATTAAAAAGGCTCATAACTTTATAAAAATATTTTATAATAACATTTTATTTATTTTTTTATTTTATTTGTGGATTTGGTCTCGAATTGGTCTCGCCCTCCCTCGGTCTTGGTCTTGTCTTGGTCTCGGACCCTAAAAGTCTTGGTCTTGTCTTGGTCTCGGTACACTCTGGTCTTGACTTGTCTTGGTCTCGGGTTAGGTGGTCTTGACCACAACACTAACTGCTTAGTGTATATTTAGTTGATGTTTTTTTTCTTAGTTCATATCTTAGATGTTATTACTGTTTTTCTTATACATTTTATTGTTGGATGTAACTTGGACCCCATGTACATAATTTCGCTCCACCACATGTACCACATGAGGTGCGAATGACAATAAAGAAACTCTGACTCTGTTTATTGTTGAGCTAAAACTTTTGCTAAGGCTTTCCAGCTTTTGAAATCTGCATTCAACAACATCCAGACACATTTGTTCCGCCTCAAACTTGTCCTAAATGCCGACAAAACCAAAGGGATGCTTTTTTCAAATAGGAAGTTGGTCCCAGCAGTTCTACCTCCGATTTTATCCTCAAATGGTGTCCCCATTGAGTTTGTTGATTCCTATAAATATTTGGGTATCTTGGTCGACTCACATCTCTCTTTTAAGCTCCATGTGGAAAACTTGGTAAAGAAATTGAAAGTTAAACTGGGTTTCTTTTTCAGAAACAGATCCTGTCTAACCCTGAATGCTAGAAAACGCCTTGTATCTGTGACTTTCCTTCCCTCAATTGATTTTGGTGATATTATTTACATGAACGCTCCTACAAGAACCCTGCAGATGTCGGATGCTGTCTATCATGGTGCACTAAGATTCATAACTGGCTGTGATTATCGTACCCACCACTGCACCCAGTACTCACTGGTTAACTGGACATCATTAACTTCACACAGACTCTCTCACTGGTATATTTTCATCTTTAAATCACTTCTTGGTCTGCTGCCTTCATACATCTCCTCCTACATGTCTCTGCGTGAGTGCAGCTACGGAGTGCGCTCTCAGGACATTATTACCTGCAGTGTTCCCTCAGTGAGGACTGAACTAGGCAAAAGGGCCTTCTCCTACTCCGCTCCTGTTTCCAGGAATATCTTACAAAAACAATAGAAGCTTTCGACCTTTGACCTCTCTAAGTGTCTTTAAAAATCTGTTGGACTCCTGGCAGGGACCAATGCAGACATGTTCCTTTTTTTAGTTTTCTACATTTGTCTTGGAATCTAGCTGTTTTTTGTTATCTTTTTCTTTTAGCCATCTTATTTGTTAAAAAAAAAAAAACTGTAGTATGACTTTTTATAACTGTTTATTGTTGTTGCTGTTGTCCATTGTTGTCATCTTTCTTTGTTGAACTCAGGTCTCTCTTGTAAATGAGTCCTCGAGGCTCAATGGGATTTACCTGTAGAAATAAAGGTTGAATGAATGAAAAAAAATAAAATCATGTTATTATAAAAAGGTCACTTACCAATTTTTACCTGATGTATGATGATTCCTCCGTCTTAGGGTTTTATAATTTTGCGTACATTTGCTGTTATTTAACTGACCTTGTGGCTGCTAAATTTATCAGTTTT